AAAACAAAGTGGGAATACTGCATGCTGTGTGCATGGAAATCTACTGGCAGTGAAGACTTTACTTACACTATAAAGCAAACGCTATCAAACTCTGGCCTATAAACACCCATAACATGCTGCTGTCATCACCCTCTGATGATGATTGTGGACTTCACTGCAAACATGCTGTGTGAAAGCATTATAGAAAACACATTTAGCACCCTTTATGGTGAAACTGCACTGTCAGATCAGACAGCTGTTTGTCGAGACATGAAGAAAAGAGAAACTCATCAGGAGAAATATACGGTGAAGCACAGCGGCGGCAGCATCATGCTATGAGCTATTCTGATGAAAATGTTAATTTAGATTCTTGGCAGTGCAATAATAATACTCTCAGATGTGGTGACCATTAATTGATCGACTGAATTTATTTACATATATGACTTACTCTCAGATTCTGACATATTCTCTTCCAGTGTTCCCTTCATCACAGCTGGTGTCCTGGTGTTATTTTTGTATGCTGCCATCCACACATAAGGCAAACAGGCAATGAATGAATACAGCGGTAAATTGAGCCACAAACACAGACACAATGTTTTCAGCACTTAAACTTTTTGAGTAGTCACTTATTTGTACTAGAGAGCGAAGGAAAAGTGAGAGATCTCACGGCGTGAAATCTGTGAGATTCTCTCTAAATAAAGAACTCTGAGTGAAGGTATTGCAGTGCACAGCTGGCTACAAATATTGCATCTTTTATGAAGACTCTCGGGCATGCAGTCACTCCTGCAGAGAAGCTCCTGTAGAGTGACAGCACAACAAAAAGCACACACACTCTCACACACAAACTGAATTGTTCTTTATACAAATACTCAGAACGTCACATATGAAGGTTTCTACCAGTAGTGATTAACCACGACCATAATTATTTTGAATTTTGGTGAAATGTAGAGTTCATATGCCAAATATTTTTGTGAGTTGTTAGAACTTCTGTTAGTCATACTGGATTTTAGACAATAATAAGTCATTTTAAAGAATTTAGACAATCTTCAGCTGATGAACCTTGTGTAAATGTGATTTACCTCACTCTAGCAATCACAGCCTCAACACAGACCTCAATAACAGAGATTGTCTATCATGCAACATGTTGGGTAAACATGCTAATAAATATAAATGCAATATTTTTATTTGTGCACAGATTTCTGCCATGACATGAAACATCATATTTAATGGGGTGTGACTGACTCTGGCTGCCTCATGTGGTGGACTGGCAGCCTGTCCAGTGTGCACCGTGCCTCAGCTGACATATCCCCACCCACCCTGTGACCATAAAGATAGTGTTTCAGGAAGAAAGGATCCCTGATAATGCTAATGTTAGCACAGCAGGGCGGTGTTTTGCCGGTGCAGGCAGCTGCCATCTTCCTATTTTCAGAGCTCAGTCGTTCTTTTTCGTGTTATATTTATTTCATCTTAACTGACTTGTTAAACCTTTAAAATCTAAATATCTGAACTACATGAGATCCTTAACAGGGCAGCATAGTAACATCACTGCCAAAGAGCACTGAAAGTGTGATTACAGAGGAATGCAGACATGTAAAACAAGTGACATAAAGTGTGATGTCCTTTACATTATTTTCAGTAACATTTTATTTGTCGAAAAACTGAACAAAATTCACACGAACAGCTTTTATAGTGATCATGCATCCAGAGTGACTAACGCGAGATAATGGCCTATCAGCGCAGTGATAGAGGTCTGTTTGTGGCAACAGTGGGGTGACAGACAGAGCGAGAATGCCAACACGCCGGGCGAATTTTTTCTGTGCAGCTGTCACTCAAACGTCTCACAGCTCAGGAGCACAAAGCCAGCGATGCTCGGTTTTATTCAACTGTTGAACACTGGCTGATTTTCTTTTGTGAGAACAGAAAAGCAATGCAGTGCTGATCATGGAAATGCATTCTTTTCTACGCACACTTATGGGATCAATGAAGAATAGACAGCAGATCATTCTCCTCACCTTGACTGTCTGTGATGTGTGTTTTTAAGATTGCGTTCTGACTCCGGGACTGCCGAGTGATCATCGTCAATAAAAGAGAGCGAGCTGTAGAGGCACCAGTGCAAGCCAAGGCCATAACTTGACCTCCAGCCTCCTTTGCATTGGTTCAGATAGATCAGGTAGTTCAGGTATCTCATCAATCCAGAAAATACAATGAAATACATTTGTACACTTTGTTGTGTTTTTAAGTAAAAAATAAACGATTAAAGTAGGAAAAATAAATGTTACTGCTAGCATACCGTTTACTGGAGGGGCTGTAACTTTTAAGTCCTTTAGCATGTAAGATTTTTGGTATTTACATATAATAAGAAAACTGAATTTTCAAGAATCAGTTAAAGTAAATTAAGATAAGTAGTAAGTTAAGTTAAATCATACAAACCTAAGTATCCACATTATATCCAATATATGAATAAAATTACAGGTTATCAGAAATCAGCTTTCCAACTGAGCAAATGACTCGCATGCACAGTTACAGGCTCTCGTGGGTTACATGAAATGCATAATGATACAGGACACGTGTAAAGATATTATTTCAAAAGTAAATCCTGTAAAAAGTAGTTTTCCGATGCCAGCACCTCTCTGTTTCACGGGATCTGTCTAGTGGCACAAGTTTTTTCCTGATAGCAAAAAACTATCAAGATACTGAAAACAAGGGCACTTCCACCCCCGATATATTGCATGAGTGCATACATATATTGCATGCACTCGTGCAATATATGTATTTTTCTGTAAAAATGTGACTCTAACTTCAATAAATACTTTTAAAAATAAATAAATGAGATACAAGGTGTTCTCTGGATGTATAAGCATAAGTATAAGGTCTGCTCTGTGCAGCTGGAGAAGACGCTGAATGATAATGATAACTACCACACTGACTAGAACACCGACACATGAGACAGGAAGCGCTGGGGCGCTCTGGTTAGCAGCAGCTAAACTTTTAAAACAAGAGTAATCCCCACTGCTATTCAATCATACAGTTTATGTGAATGGATGAAAAAATAGGAATAAAAACATCAAAATGAGGTGCCAGAAATACTGGAGGGTGTATGTCTACCTTGATGTATAAAAAAAGGCTGTTCGTGTTGGTGGATAACAAGCCTGACTCTTGTCTGATAAGTTAATTATTGCAGCTCCTGAAGGATTAAGGTGGAAACATTGTTTTTGAACAATACATCTGGATTTAACTCGGATTAAATGTTCTCTCCAAATGTGGTTGTGGGATTTTTTTTTGTCCAGTCCAGGAACTATATGGGTTTAGGGAAGCTCTTTGCAGATACAGCAGAAAGGCGAGATGATGTGATGCTTAACATGTAAATAAATTTGCTGTCAGTTACTCAAATGTGAAGGTGGCACTGTGGCAGCAGAGATTACTGCTCCATCTACGGTTGTGTTTGAATCTGGGCTGATATGAATATGTCTGATATGATATGAAACCACATGGGATTTCAAATGGCAACGCTTTTATCATAATATGTGCTATTACTCAACAGCGTTACATACAGTAGCAGAGACCCAAGTGTCATCTCAGCATTGTAGTCAACACAACCACAATCAGAACAACCACACATGTGTCTGGAGTCACTGCAGGCTGCGGGAGCGCTGGGTGAGACATGACTGCCACCTTGATCTCAGGTGGGCTGACCATAAGAATTCAGATATGCATGCAATCTCACACTTTAATGACACTTACAGTGAAAGTATAAAATTACAATTATACTAAATTCTACACTACAAAAGGTGGTCAAGTGTTTGGCTGCTTGAGAAAAGGTGGATACACAGGAAGTTATCTACGACTGGCTGCTCCAGTCTGCATGTCAAAGTTCATTTTCATTTCAGACTGATCTATGATGGTAGCTGATATGTATGTGTCATGTAGATTCGTTTTATGTTGAGCTGAAAGACAGTTATGTTTTTACACATTTACTTTCTTTCCATGTGACAGGGAATATAAAAACATAACAATACAAACATTTAGTTAATGCAGGAACGTCTAAGAGACATTTTACTGCTGAGCTGTTTGTCTGTGGCACACATCATAAACTAACCCATCCAGGATCAGGCACCAATGAAGGCTCTGACACTGTCAGTGAAATTTTATCTGAAATAAACGTCGTGCTCAGAGCTGTGAGAGTTGCAGTAATTGTGTCTGTGAGAAGCATGCGGTGGAAACTTGAGTAAATGATCCGCTGCTCTTACGTTTCTACAGGTGATTGGCTGGGTGCCTCACTCATTTCCACACACACCGCCTATCAAACGCTAATCAAAAGCGCGTGCGCATGTGTGCGCATGCACGGAGGCACACACACTTGATTTTCACGATGCCAAACACAAACGGAGACTTCCTCCGTGACGGCACCCTCTGCTCATAAAGCCAATCAGCGCGCTGGCTGCTATAAATAATTCCGGCTCTCCGCCGGCCGGCCCCGCCGACACCAACACCAACACTGCGGAGAACCGGAGCCGGCCAGGCCCTCCTCCTCCCTCGGCTGACTCCCCTACAGCCTCGTCCTCCTCTCCCGTCTCTGTCACAAAACGCACACCTTTGAATGCGAGTGATGGCGGCGGAGGATTGAGGAGATCCGCCTTTACCTGGAAAAAAACGGAAGGCACAGAGCGAGAGGGGAGAGGAGGAGCAGGAGGGAGGGGGAGATATCCGCAGCATGCCTTTGTGTTCCGCGCCCCGGTGCCAGAAGTGGCTCTTTCAGCCCACAGCCGCGCGGATTGTGCACAGACATCGCGCCAGCAGGTGAAGCGCGTACCTGCAGCCCGCCCGCGTGCACAAACACACCGAGACCAAAACAGCCTCACGCCTAAAACCGTCTGCCTCACCGAGAGTGCCAGCTCCCCCTCCATCCACCCGAGCTGCAGCACTAATGCACAAACAAGCACGGAGCACCGGGGGTCCCCGCGGCGTCCCGGCAGCGCGGGCTCTCTCATCGTCTAACATACGCTGCGTTTGCTTTCACTAACCTGATGCGTCTGAAGGACCGAGGGGCCGAAGGGATCCCGACCAGTCTGCAGGAGAGCTTTCGTTTGATGCCTGTCCTATATCCAGTCTCTCTCACACACGCGCGCGCTCGCTTTCTCTCCACCACCCCCTCTTGCGCACTATTACCTCACAGCCTCCACTCTGTTCCTCCAAGACGAGAGAGAGAGAGAGCATATGGCGACAGATTCTCAACAGGAGCGCGAATCCGTGTAAAAGTAGAGACTCTGCTTTGTGCTTTGTTTAAATTCTCCAAAGTGCGCACGCCACCACCAACAAGTGAGCCTGTTAGGATACACATAAAGTCCATTCAAAGAGAACAGTGTTTAAGCTGACAAAGGTGCACAATTTAAAAGAGGCCAGAACACAAAATAGGATTTTACCCTCAGAGGTTTTAATGGGGTGTAGGTGAATTCATTTATTTTGATTGCGGGCGTGAATATTCCAGTTTACAGTATGCCATCTATTTTATTTTGCCAGATGTGATCAGAGGACACTTTGATAACCGAATGCTACATCTTTCACACAGAGGCCTGACACTGCCATTTAAAAAATAGCATTCATAGAAATATACATGCGGATAAGGTGGGCGCACGACAGGAAGCCAGCTGCAGCAGCTGTTTGTAAATTCAAAGTTAGCCTGCTGTACACGTAGAAGTGAAAGAAAGCACCAGACAGGGGGACTTGCATGTGTCACTTTAATTTTGAACAATGCAGGCTTCAAGGGAAAGTTTGGAAGTTTAAAATAGCCTAGAGTCGTCAAACAGCTGGTCCTGAGTCATCAAGCCCTCATGGGAGTTGAAACAGTGACATGAAATAACAGGATGTTCAGATTTTATTGTCATGCAGCTGTAGGTAGTTTATAACTTAATAAATGCCCACAATGTGACCGAGAACAGATGCAAAGACCACATACTGGCTTTTATTTCTTTATGAATCAAAACAATGGTGCCGCTGATGCATCCGGGGCTAGCGCAGCTCTCAGAGCAGCCTGCGTAGCCGGAGGCCGTCAATCCGAAGCCTCGTGATGCCTAACGCTAATGCACTCATTGTTAACGTGTCATTACCGAGCTCCTTTATCGCTGAGCAAACACACACGCATGTACACAGATCCTGTGCAAACAGATAGGACAGGTGCTGCCTCCTGCGTGTCACGCTAACATCACGGCTGAATCAGCCGAATGAAACAAACTCGCAGTCCTCACAATTAAGCACCACCAGGCGTTAGTTTAGGTTTAATTATTAATATGCATTTTGAGATCAAACCCCATCTTTGCATGTGGTATCATGAGCGTAGATGGTGTACTGGCGTCTTTATTCTACACTTCAAACACTTCTTACAGAAAGTGACAACATTAGGTGTACTGTCAGGGACTAGTAAGCATAAGAAATGCAGAGATTAAATACTGCAGCAGTGAATGACCCAAAAAAGTTTTTGTTTTTTGTTTGTCTTGTTCCATGTTCAATAATCCAGGTAAGGAAATCAACTTTCTGAGATTCACTCAGAAACATTTTCACTTTATTAACCTTCTAAATTTAAAGTGAATCACTGTTATCAGTTTTCATATCATTTCCTTTAATTACACAACCAAAAACATACATTTTCTCATGTATATAAAATCGTATGAAGAATATGTTTGAATCTCTACAATAACATCATGAACACTGAAAGATGGTTTGTACTTAGTTATGCAGAGATGTTGTGTTGGGGTTAAATAATGAAATGTCTATATTTTTACTTTAAAAAAATCCTTCTGCAACCTTAAATATTTCAAAAGAATGAAGGCTCTTTCCCAGAGGCAGTCATTTCCCCACGACTGCAGGCTTTTATGCCGTCTGAGGATACTAATCTTAGTTATGGCAATCACATCACCTCTCCAAAACATCCATCGTGTGGGTTCAGAGGGAGGTTACTCCTGTGTGCACCATGTGCGCATTTATTTAGACCTTTTTCTTTTTCCAAAGCAGATCCCATCTTTGGATGTTCTAGCTGGTTAATGTGTTAGAGGTGTGTTTTTGACTAATCCTCTAATTGAAAATCATTTAAAGGCTGCTTGTCGGGGTTAATGTCACCGGATGTTTGTCTTTGCATGGTCAAGATTCCTGGTTCCCACTTTTGCAAGGTCGCATTTCACTCATTTTTGTGTTAATGAACAAATAAGTGGCTTCGACACAAGCAAACAAAACCATCCCTAGGCTTCTGAAAACAGAGGATTCAGTCATCAGCTATTAAGATTTAGTTGAGTCTGCAAAGTCAGTGGTGCTGGTGTTATGATGTGGAACTCCAATCGTGGATGCTGCCATTAGTGACATTTGCCCATATTTACTGCCACTACATCCTGCTGGCGCCGCTAAGGCTGCTTACACAGCATTACACACCCACTTCCCCTGGAGAAATCAATGATTTAAAAAAAATTTGGCAGGTGATTATTGGTTGGATAAGAAGACTCTGTCATGTTGCACAACATCAGTGTACAAATGTGATCATGAAACTTTAGACTGCGTTGATAATTTACTCTTTTCTTCGTCTTTCTCTCTTTGCATCACATACATATTTAAATTTTATTTCTATGAAATGTCATACAGATGTCTGTGAGCATGAGAAAAAAAAGTCAAACATCAATTTGATGATTAACTGACTTTCCATCAAGGCCCATATCATGTCAGGCTGTGTGTTTTAAATTGTGCATCAAAGGAGATGTCAGCTTGAGTTGTCTGCAGTACTACAAGGCTTCCAGGCAGACTAAAGCCCCACGAAGAGAAGGCAAATGAATCAGGTCAAGCAAGAACTGATCCCCTGCCTCATTCCTGACTTTAAAAGACATTGACAAGCTATTACAGGTAGCTTATTTTGCATTCTATATACTGCAGAGACACGTACAGCATTTTACACAGTTCCAGTTTCCAGCACCAAGAGTCCCACCCCACTGATATTCCATAAAAACTCTTAACTGTGAAACAGTATGCCATCACACATTTTGTTACAAGACCGGGCTGCGATTACATAACCACATTTCTGTTAAACAGCACATCTCCTGTCAGTGTAAACACTATTGGTCTACATGAGATTACTCACTACACAAAAGAATCAGAATCAGAAAGGGGTTTATTGCCAAATGTTGAGCAGGTTTACAACATTAGGAAATTGCTGCGGTGCTTCAGTGCAAACATAGTGTCATAAATAGCACTTAAATAGACATGAAAAAAAATAAAAGTAGGGATAAGAATTAAAAGTGCTACGTAGAAAGATATGTGCATGAGATATACATGGGATATATACATGAGAATAAGAATTAAGAGTGCTACGTTGAAAGATATATACATGAGTGCAGGTGGTGATCAGTGCCAAACATGGAATGATGCAGTGAACACAGCGTAGGGTCATGTGTTAGTGGCGGGAACAGTCATATGGTTATTGTTCATGTGTCCAACAGCAGAGGGGAAGAAACTGTTCTTATAGCGAGAGGTTCTGGTGCGAATGGACCGGAGCCTCCTGCCTGAGGGGAGCAGGTCAAACAGGGTGAGAAGGGTCAGCTGAGATCCGAGCTGCACGCCGCAATGTCCTGGAGGTGTACAGGTCCTGCAAAGATGGGAGTCTGCAGCCAATCACCTTCTCAGCAGAGCGCACAACACGCTGCAGTCTCTGTTTGTCCCTGATAGTGGCTCCAGCGTACCACACGGTGATGGAGGAGGTGAGGATGGACTCGATGATTGCAGTGTAGAACTGCATCATCGTCCGTGTTGGCAGGTTGAATTTCTTCAGCTGCCTCAGGAAGTACATCCTCTGCTGGGCTTTCTTGATGACGGAGGTGATGGTGGGCTCCCACTTCAGGTCCTGGGTGATGGTGGTACCCAGGAAGCGGAATGAGTCCACAGAGGTGATGGGGGTGTCAGTCAGGATGATGGGGGGGAGTGGGGCTGTGCTGTGTGCTGTGTACTGTGCTGTGTACAAAATACAACGAATGGACAATTTGGATCTTTTTTGGAGACTAAACTTTCATTGCCACGGTGGATCACCTGCTTCTGTTTCCCAGCATCCTCCTCTGTCATGACTGAGGAGACCGACTGCATGTCCTCCTTTAGTATATCCATGAACCTCCTGTATGGTTTTCCTCTTTTCCTCCTGACTGGCAGCTCCATCTTCAACATCCTTTGTCTAATATATCCATTCTCTCTCCTCCAAAGCTCTGCTCCTTGCATGTCCACCTGTCTCCTTCTCATTCCCACACATGCGTTCTGTCTTGCTTCTTCTGACTGTCATTCCTCTTCTTTCCAGCTCATGCCTCCACCTCTCCAGCCTCTCCTCCACCTCCTCTTTAGTCTCACTACAGACCACAGTGTCATCTGCAAACATCAGTGTCCACAGAGACCCCTCCCTGATCTCATCTGTCAGCCTGTCCATCAACACTGCAAACAAAAAGGGGCTCAGAGCAGAACCCTGATGTAATCCCACCCCCACCTTCAACCCATCTGTGACTCCTACCCTCACCACACTTCCTCTTTTGGCACCCTATCATCAGTGAATCTCCTCTGACCTTCTCTAAACTTCTCCATCAGCGCTGTCAAAGCAAACATCACATCTGTGGAGCTCTTTCTCAGCAGGAAGCCACACTGCCACTCACTGATCATCTCCTCTCATCTTAGCCTAGCTTTGATAACTCTTTCTCATATCTTCGTGGTATGGCTCATCAGTTTTATCCCCCTGTAGTGACGACTCTGCACATCACCCTTGAATACTCAACACTTCCCATTTACTTTAATGAAGTTTAGGCTGTAAAACAGGACTAAGTATAACTGAGTGTAAATGAAATGAGTTTCCAAGCTGCTGAGAATGAACTCAGCACATTTTCAGAAAATGGAATCTGTAATATAAATGCAGTGCTAGATTAGCTTCATATTAAATGACACTGTCAGGGGCGGGAAGGCGATCACACCACAGCTGCTACAGAGAAGGTAAAAATTTGGCTCGACAATGAAATGTTCTGGATGTTAAATTGAGTTTTTCAAATAAATTAGCTACGAGTACAACTTTTTCAAACACAACAGCATATATGAGACTTTGTTCTTCTTATCTTCTTAAGAATCATCACCGGATAGACTGGATATAACACTTTGACTTTTGGTTGTCATTTATTGGAAGAAGGA